GTGCGACTATCAGCTATCGGTTGGAGGGCATTACTCGTCATATAAATGACTCTTGGGCGCGAAATGATGATGAATTGGGTATGAAGAATGCCCTACGAAGGGGCAATTATAGCACTTTAAATGTCTATTTCCAAACAGATCTTCAGGCGTCTTCCGACGACACTTCTCGGGGCTTCCCTAATAACGGCAATCGACGAACAGATGTGTCGGATCAATCATCAGTAACCGTCCTTGGCTTCTGTACGTTGCCTGACCCGAGCGTGAATTCCAGCAGCCCTCGTTCTAGTTACATCAAGGATGGTTGTAACGTGTTAGCCGATACCATGCCGGGTGGTAGTTTAGCGCAGTATAACCAGGGCGGCACAGCGGTTCATGAGGTTGGCCATTGGAATGGGCTACTGCACACGTTCGAAGGTGAATCATGCTCCCCTGATAATGAAGGAGATTACATTGATGACACCCCTGAGCAATCTGAGCCTACGAGCGGATGTCCCGCCGAGAAGGATTCATGCCCAGATCTTCCTGGCCTTGATGCAATCCATAATTTTATGGACTATTCATCTGATGACTGTTATGAGAGTTTTACTCCAGATCAAGCTGAGAGAATGAGAAGCATGTGGTCCGCTATGCGAGAAGGGAAGTGACGGACGCATGCAGGGGTATATATAATTTGCACATATACCAGCTATAGATACAAAAGAATGGTAGCACGAATATTAATGTCTCATTGTTGTCCCCCCAAGTTCCATGGGAACTGACGATTACGATTCATGAACATTTGGTACAATTTAAGTATTGAATAACGATTAATGCAAATTAAAGACTACTTGTTCGATAGTCACAGCTAGCTGTCATGTGGTACGCGGAATCAGATCATCGCTTGCGCTTTTTCCCACGATCTTCATCATCCAGACCACTTTCCCTGTCCTTTTTCTTTGCCTTCGTTTCGAGCTCGTCCCAGTCTTCACCACTCTCTTCGTCGGCACTAAAGTCATCGCTAGCCTCGGCACTGGCATCATCGTCGAATTCACTGTCGTCTTCTGAACTCTCGTCGGCCGCCGCCAGCTCTGATTCAGAAAGCTCAAATGCGGACTCCTCGTCTTCGTCTGATCCGCCCTCTGAATCCGACTCTGCGGCCAAGAATGACCAGCCCCCATCAGCGAAGAAACCGTATGGGTCACTTACGACTGTCTTCATAATTGTTGTCCAGTTTAAGTTCAGTGGACCCTCTGTGAATGCGATATCAACAGAATCTAGCCAGTCTTTAACACCCTCTAGCGATTCGACAGGGATTGTATTGATATGAACAGGGGCCCTGTGGAAATCCTTGAAAACAAAAACCAGGTCAAAGTTTTTGAGTCCAAACTAGTGACATTAGCAGCAGTAAATAACCAGGGGTAAAGGTCGCACTTACCTGTACTCTCTCCAAATGGGCAATCTCTACCTCATTCAGAGTAATCACCAGGAAAGGCGGCTCTGTCAATTGGACAAGAGCATCTGTTGTGGGTTGGATCAAAACATTAGAGCGGTTTGGTACGCCAGTGAAACCAATTTCTCTGAAAGGGATGTCAACATCCACGCTTTCATCTTTTCCGGCATCTGCAATCTTTTCGGCGAAAGCCTTGAACTCCCGATCTAGAGCGGCTCTCCGCCGTCTCTCTTCCTGTTCGGCTTCGAACTCCTCTTCATCCCCATAACGATGCTTGCGCCTGCGATTGCCGGTTTCATCAAACTGCATTTCGGTTGCCTCCCGGTAGAACTGCACATCTCTAGTCTTCCTTTTCCCTATCATTATAGGTGTTTTCAAATGAACATGTATCAGAACAATCAACTCGTGAGCGCAAGGTTGGAAAAACAAGTGCTTCACGTTGCTGAACAGGACATCTACATGTTCATTTCGAAAAGGTGACATGTAACGCAGACCGTTCTGATGGATTTCAACTTCCCCTGGAACACGTTTACCATCCAGAGGAGGCCGAAGGTATACATCAGGCAGTTTTACAGGACGACGATCTATCCTAGTCAGTCCCCGTGCATTCAGATGGTTGAGTAACAAAACTTACTCCTGATTTCAACCAACTTGTCTTGTTCTACCACATCTTCCATTTCCTTCTTCTCTTGTTCCCGCCGCAGAGCATTCTTTCGAAGTTCTGTGATGTCTTGAGCGATCTGGGCCAGTCGGTCGTTGTCCTTGGATCGGAGTGTCAAATTGCGCAGAAAATGTGCGGAGAGGTCTTCGAAAGGCTGATCATCCTTTCGGCCCACGCCTTGACCCGGTGAAAGGAAATTGATTCGGAGATACGCATACTCTCCTTCGTCACTTTTGCTAGCATTTTTGATCGTGTTAATATGGAAGGGTACTGGCCGACCCATAATTGGCACAATAACCGTGGAAGCCTTCTGATCTACATAAACGGTTAGGTCTTTCACCCTCGTTGGGAGCTGATTGTCTCTCTTGTAAGACTCGAATCTCTTGAACTTTTTCTGTGTGACTCCGTTATCATCGCCAGTCGTACCGGCAAATCTGTCCAGACCTTCCTTGGTCTTTTTGCCAGCCAACTCCTTTTGATGCTCACGTCGCCGTGCTTCGGCACCTTCATTAATCTGAGTGGGTCGTTCAGCACGAAGCTTCGTTCTCGTAACATTCCTATTGGCAACAGAGCTTGATTTTGCCTCCTTCTTCTCCTTTACTGGTCTCTGAGGCTCTTCTTCATCCCCAAAGTAGAACGATACAGAGTCCATGTCAACACCAGCATCTTTCGTAAACACCAGAGGCCCGGTTTCTCCGACGCGAACAGTGTCTGTAATAACCATCGAATAAACGGTCCTATTCTTGTCTTTGATGCTCGCGTCTTCAACGTCAGTCAGACCAACTGTAACAGCGAATGTCATTCCGCTCTTCAAAACTTTATCGTTCTTTCCGTTAAGAACCATATTAGCGTCTCGAAGCTCAATTCCTATGCCAGCGCCGACAGTTTTCAGGAAATGAGATTCAAGCTCAGGCTTCTTTGTCCGAACCATATTCATCGCCTTGCTGTATAGGTCCTTAGCCACGGCCCCGTCACGGACGTCTTTCAAAATCGCTTCGCGGACGCTTAGTAGAAAGGCGTAGTTTGCCTCCTGAGTTTTCGTTGGGTCAACTAGGTAGGTGCGTGCAATCATCGAACTGTAGGTCTTATAACGAATGCCGAAGCCAGCAATGATTATCCCCGGCTGCAAATTGTTGTTGTCGGATACCGCAGTCAGCTTGAGATCATATTTCCCTCCGCTTTGTATCACTGGTCCATATGCCCAATCAATTTGTTGGGGGTCAAATTCGGCCGGCAATTTTGCTAACTTGTTGAAGAATTTTGCGTCGTCTATTTTCGCATCAATCCGCATTGAGAGAGCTTTGTGGCTCATCTGCTTCTCTTCATCAAGTAGGCGGGACATTTCATCAACGAAGTACTCGGACATCAGACCACTGCATGCCCGCGATGCATTACGTATTGATACCTTTGTCGTGTCAGCCAGTCACACCTCCGAAGACATGTAAAACTTACTAATTCATCAGTATCCTTGACAGAGAGAGTAGCTGAAAGAGCTGGAGAAATATCAACTTCCTCAACTTCATTTGACAATGTTGCATAAGCCTTCTTCCAATCTTCTGCGAAAGGACCTGCGGTTGTGTCTTTCGGCAATACGCCAACTTTTTTCTTATCATTTCAGGACAGTCAGTTCCATCCAAGATCGCTAAAAACGGTGAGGACAGTAGGACTCACACCGGCAGTTTTGATAACGTCAATGCACTTTTCGAAAGATTTCATCTTCTCATCTGGAGTCTTGGACGTCACTAATATCTCCACCGGAATCTTGCCACCTTTCAAGGGTTCAAGGTGCTTGGCTGCAAACAAAATGTGCATGTCAGTAATCAAGGCCATGCTAAATTCATATCTTTTGATAGAACTCACCTTTCTTCGCGGTAGTCACCACATACACCATCTCCGTCGTAAAAACCAGAAGCGTAGCTGGAAATTCATAGCCAAGGAGCCAGAACTATTTATGATGGCAGGTGAGCCGACAAGAATAGGATTAAGAGGTAATGAAAGACATACGTGCATTGCGTTGTTCTTTTGAAAGCTGTTCGCTTCGTCGGTTTTGCCCATTAGGATAACAATCGACGAGACACCACCGAAAACGGCATGACTAGATCGTTTGTCGGCTTTCCATGCATTATAGAAGCTTGATAATCTATTGAAGAAAGTAGATTTGTCTATCACAATCTCTTCGGCCATGATGTGAGTATATCAATCGGTGCAGCCTGCCAGCTTGGCGTAAACACTTCAGCTTGTGCAGAAAGTCCCCGTAGGAACCTTAGAAGGTAGGGTGAGCTTCAGTGGAGGTCAGTGAGCGAAATTCGTAATGAGAAATTCACTATACCAGATTTGCAGAAGGTAAAGAAAGAGATATACTGGAGGATATCTTCACTTGAGCAATGGATTAGAGTATATTGAGACCCATTGACTAGCTCTTACTTCTGTAGAAGAAACTAAGATAGGGTAGCGCAAACGCGAAACCTCCGAAGGCGCGTTCGCTCAAGTGTTCCTGACAAATCAGCGGTGTTTGAGTTGTTTGCTCAAAAGTACCCTTCCATGCTTAGTACCTCTCCACCTCAAGGCTAAATATTTCACCTCGGACATTGACTTCTTCAGTATCTCGTGGGCTATTCACTTCTAGCTTCTCATATGAAGCTGCCATTCTATTTAGTCATCAACAATTTTCATCATAGCTATCCTCACCATACGAGTTAGCCCTCATTCAGTGTATGATGTGCCTCTAGTTAGGACATCTTTCATGGAATCTTGCAGCGCGGGCTGGCAATGTCATTGGAATAAGCGCTATGCTTATATTTGTACATCACCGATAAACTGTCACCTCTAATGCTTTCTCACACGCCTCAGCATGGCCACTACTCAGACATTACCCGCATTTGATCATACCTCGAGCTTGGATTCGGGGAATCCGTCACGCAGAAAATCGCGACAGAATGCAGCTACCGGTGCCTCTGCTGCGGGGGTGCGTGCTCTTAGTGCACAATTGGTTGCATTCTACTTCAGAGCACCTATCAAGGCATTTTTTCGCACCCGAGTTGAGTATGATACTAGACTGTCTCTTAAGTATTGTCTCTTCAGTCACTGACAGCCCATGCTCTTGTTCAGTTATATGGTATGCGGTTGCATTGTTCCTTCGCCGGCCCGGTTGCACTGATCTCTGGAGTCCATGTCAACTGATATATATGGCTCTTCCTGTTATTTCGCTAGGCCTTCGCTAGAGCTGTCAATCCTCATTCTGCGAAAACCGGTTGGTCTCTGCACACAACTACTCCGGGGTTACTTGTCCATGCCGTTCGCACATATGGGTGGCGCTTCATCCCTAATCAAGTTATGCCACCTCTCCTAGCGAATGCTGGGTTGGTTTACCTAGTCTCGAATTTGGTTGCCTGGGTTGTCTAACTGTTATAGATAGGATTGGAGCCGTCCTTTACACGTCATATCTACAAGTTCTTGGCGCTTTGTACGAACCGGCGTCCCAAGGTATCAAACGCGTATACCCACCTGCTCCCCCTTCAAACACATTTGCAGCTGGGTTTATAGCGGGTACAATTCAGTCAGTAGTAGCCGCTCCTCTGGATGCGCTTCAGGTCCGTCTCCGAGCGAGTGACTTGCTTGAGGGCCCCTACAAGAGCATGTGGCATTATGGCCGCCATAAACTCAATCAAATTGGGGTCCGTGGTATATTCGCAGGGTGGGGCTTATCCTTCACTCGCGACGCTTTTGGTTATGCAGTATTTTTCTCTTTCTTCGAGTTCGTGAAATCGCAGGCCTACTATTCATTTTTGACCTGGTATTACGGCTCACGGCGGACTCATTACGCGGAACAGTTACAGCACATCCAATCGAGTGACCGCGGCGTACCGCTCATAAGACCACATTATGCTCTGGAGCCATGTTTCTTGATGGCTGCAGGTGTTGCAGCTTCAGTTGCTCAACAGAGTATACAGCACCCGCTAAGTGCCATTCAAAGCCTCCATGTTGCTCGCTTGGAATACATTGACCATCAAGCGAGTCTTCATCCTTCAAGACGAGAAATGCTACGTTTATATTACTCTGCATACCAGGAAACCTTGAAGAGATGCAGGAGAAAGGCTTCCAGGGCAGGTGGCTGGCGTCGTTGGCTGTTTCGTGGGTTTGCAAGGGACGCCATCCGTCAAGTACCTAGCACTAGTGCAGGCTTGGTGATATTCGAGGTGGTGCGTCGTAAGTACGCTAATATGGCAGACGCTGTATATATCGAGAAAGATGGCTATGACATTCTTTTAACATGATAAACATGCTGGTTTAATCATTGCGCTTCCCCCAGGGGGGAAGAGAAAGCCATTGGCTATCGAGGAACGATGTGTAGTGTGTACGGTATAACGGCTAAGTTGATATCGGAGAGAAACGTCCAAGATGATAAACTTTCATTGTCGCTCGTGGTACATGAAATCTAGTTATAACTACATAGTAACGACGAGTAGCAAAGGGGCTACCCATGCTATGATTACTAGCTACTACAATCGAAACAAGCGATAACAAACAATGTTCTATAACCAACGATGTCCTACGGACGAATCATAATTTTCTGCTAACACATACAAGGAGTCTGTCTACTTGTGTGCTCCAGGCGATAGCCGCAATGGCCAGCCAGCTTTGCGTCACTCCTTTTGAAGCATTTCGATGTATCACAAGTTATTAGCCAAGACATCTCTTGGTTGTAGTAACCCAAGCCTACAATTACAGGTCTATATATAGGAGTGTATTATACAGAGATCAATGATACGATACTGATTCCTGGGTCTATATGGGCTCTTTTCACATAGTCTAGGCTCTAAAGGGATCCACCCAAATATATGCCTTGCATGACAGTATTGTTGAAAGAATACCACCAAATGAAATGTTGTATATAGTCAGAATTGAATAGCGACCCTTGTAGGTGAAAATTATGAAACACCGCGCCTCATATTAAGTCATCTTGATTCTCGTAAATATCATTAGGCACGTACCCTCGTTGACCGCACCGCCACAGATGGCATCACTGATGGGCACTGTCGGTAACATGGTACACTAAAGTACTACGTAGTTTACTGGGCAGAATCTCGTACCCACTTAGCGTCAGTGTTTGCGGGGTCTCCGAGAACCCCATCAAGGTACGTAACGGTAGTCACATCGATGGCTTGACAGCTGCCTCCCTAAATCATGACTAGTCCCCCTGGGAAACCCAGCAAGCAACCTTGGGACGGATTTATGTACACAAGCCAAAGGTCACCTCTGGACTGATTGCCAAACATATGTTATCTAGCCTTAGCTCATATTCCATGCTTTCCTTTGTCCCCTCTTTAAGTTTTGCACCTGATCAGTTTTAGGCTGTTGGACCTCCGGGCACCGTCATCCTGCGCTGTTGATCTGCCAAGTATTGCCTGTCTCGTGAGCAAACCCCCCCAAGGATTGTCATCACCGCTTTCTACACCCTTTCGGTATCCTTGTGAACAGTTGGTTCACCTCACTCGCTTGTCTCCGCTTTGGCGCGTGGTCTTCCATCCTATTGCAGCGATTACTCTGCACTGCTGTCCTTCTGATCCATCCCTTCCAAATAGATTAGCAGTCGTCTTTACATGCCGCTTTGATGAAAACTCACAATTCGGATTGTTGCGGAGCGTTACGAAAATTACCAGCTCTCCTTGATTTTTACTCGCAGCGATCTTATATTCTGGTCGCGTGAAAGAGTGGTGACAGAAAGAAAAAAGCTAATATTCAACCAAGAAAGGGGGGCTGTAAATCCCAGCCCATTACAACCGCCAACATTCCTCTCACAACGACCCCGACCCATACTTCCTCTGGCATACCCTTGCAAAATCTTCCTTCAAGTTCAAGGTCCTCTGTCCCTCGACCCGCTAAAGTAGTAGAACCTGCCAGTGGGAGGAGCAGTCGACGCTCTTCCTCTACAGCCACTCACTCCACTGGGTCTGAGCATTTTACTTGGACTGACAGTGGAGATTTGACGGAACAGCTTGCTAATGCCGAAGATTATCTTCGGATCCCACTCAGAAGCTCTGAAGATCGTGAAAGCTCTGGTCGGGTGGAATCCAGTGTTCGAGCCGAGAAACAGAATCGTGTCCATTACCCCAGCCAGCTTGTTATCGGCGAAGACGACGTTGAGAAGATTGAAATACCCTGCCCTCCACCCCGGAAGATTCCTCGGGCAGAGCGCCTCTTAGCTGTCATAATGTCACCCAATAATCGACAAAGCGCACACTCGCATGGCTTGGTTGGGAAGCCATTACTGTAAGAGGTTTCGTCATCGACAAATGTTACCTACTAGCTCTGCTGACCAGCTATGTAGGTACTTTACGAGTGTTTTCGTATCCTTGGGCGTCTTCCTTTTTGGTTATGACCAAGGTGTTATGTCTGGGATCATAACGTCCGTCTTCTCTTTCTTCAACGGAATGGAGGGCTTTGCTGACACACGATCAGAGGCTGGTATTTCAAGGATTACTTCAATCAACCCTCGCGAGCTGCAATAGGTACGGTGGTTGCGATCCTCGAAGTAGGGGCTTTCATATCTTCTCTACTTGTCGGCCGACTCGGCGACTTAATCGGACGCCGCAAAACGATCTTGTATGGCTCCATAGTATTCTTTATTGGCGGTGCATTGCAGGCCTTTGCTACCGGGTTGCCTATGATGATGGCCGGTCGAATCGTCGCAGGTTTGGGCGTTGGGGCCTTGTCGACAATTGTACCAGTCTACCAGTCTGAAATATCGGTATACACAATCACCCCTGTTGCATAATGCTTCGGTTGTTTTGCTAATGTTCTCTAAGCCCCCTCACAACCGAGGGAAACTGGCATGTATCGAGTTTACAGGGAACATCTCGGGATACGCAGCCAGCGTCTGGGTGGATTATTTCTGTAGCTTTATAGAAAGTAATTACTCATGGCGCCTACCGTTGTTGTTCCAGTGCGTCATGGGTGCTCTTCTTGGTGTGGGTAGCCTCATCATTTGCGAGTCGCCAAGGTGAGTCCATGCGTGATGCAGGAAAAAATTAGCTTTTCACCATGCTAATGCAAGACTAGGTGGCTGTTGGACAATGACCACGATGAAGAGGGTATGGTTGTCATTGCAAATCTATATGGAAGTGGAGACTTGCACAGTGACAAAGCCAGACAAGAGTATAGAGAGATCAAGATGAACGTTCTTCTGCAAAGGCAAGAAGGCGAACGATCTTACGCTGATATGTTCAGGCGTTACTATAAAAGGGTCTTGATAGCGATGTCGGCACAGGCCTTAGCTCAGCTCAACGGTATCAACGTCATCTCGTATTACGCCCCGCTTGTATTCGAATCAGCAGGTTGGGCTGGCCGTGACGCTATCCTGATGACTGGGATCAACGCAATCTCGTATCTGGCCTCTACAGTACCTCCATGGTATCTGGTGGATCGCTGGGGGAGGCGCCCCATCCTTCTTTCTGGAGCGGTGGCAATGATTGTTTCACTCTCCCTGATTTCCTATTTCATATATATTGACGTCGTGGCGACACCTACTCTCACTGTCATCTTTGTCATGATCTACAATGCTGCTTTTGGTGCATCATGGGGACCCATACCATGGCTCTACCCCCCGGAAATTCTCCCATTGAGCATTCGTGCAAAGGGCGCAAGTCTCAGTACAGCCACTAATTGGGCTTTCAATTGGCTTGTCGGAGAGGTCACGCCTGTCTTACAAGCTGCTATCAAGTGGCGCTTGTACCTGGTGCATGCGTTTTTCTGTGCCTGCAGCTTTGTCCTGGGTAAGCGCCATGTCAATTTTTCCCATAATTAACCAAAAGTCTGATACATTACTACAGTTTACTTTTTATATCCGGAAACGAGTGGTGTCCGCTTGGAAGACATGAATTTGCTGTTTGGGGATGCAACTACTGCCATGCCAACACCAGCAACTCAGGGAGAACGTGGCTCCCTCATGAGTGCAGGCTCTCCTGTACCTTCGCTTGACATCAGACGCCAGTATGGCCGTCTTGGGGCAGACAGCGCCATTCCTGGCTTGGACATTGACCCACCGAATGTAAGTTCTAGTACCGGTAGCAAGCCTGGCAGGACAGGCTTCCGGGAAGACACTAGTAGTCGCTCAGAGGGCTTTGGAGGCTGGATTTCGAATATGATTACCCGACACAAAGGATCGGAATCAACAGGACAGGCCGGTCAGTATAGACGTCTTGGGCAGGAGGAGAATGAGTAGGGCCAACGCGTATGGTCCAGTCTCATGTAACAGATACAGACATATAAACATCCTGTTGCTGTACCTACCTCTTTCACCCTTGTTTTCTCTTTTCATCATTATGTACACCGACTTAAACTGTATTCTTTTCTTTTTCTCGTGGACTGACACTAGGATATTCTCGGCCCTGGTCTTGCATATGTTGATCTTGTCGAAGCCCTATTTCGATTTACTGCACCGTTTTACCTTTCTGACAACATCTACACATGTATGCATGTAAATGTATACCGAGACGTATACCATGCCCCAGAATAGGTTTGAAATACATGACAGTTTGTGAAATGTTTGAAGCGTGAGGCACATATCGCGCCATATCCTACTCCGTGACTTCAGAAATGAGAATACGCGTGCAACTTTCATCTCGAAGACTCAGTATTATTACCATAGGGTCTTTCAGGCTCAGAGGTATTTCTCTGGCTTGCATAATATGCTACCATAATCCATCGACGTGGAAGGGTGGTAATAAACGATTAGACAAAAATTATCTTCGATCCCCTTGCATATCATAGTAGCAACGTGATTACCGAAAAATCATTCCGCACGTCTTATGCCGACCTAGATACATGAGAAGCTTGGGAAGCTTACCATGGCACACACATGTGTCCCTATGTCAAATAAAGCACCCTGTCTCTCATAGTGATAGCGTAGACGTTATTCGTCTAGGTTTGGGCTTACGACCCTCGAGCGTATACACAACCAGCGCAGATTCATTCATTATCAATCTATACCCCGAACCATCTACGAATTGTCCGAGGCTCCTCATGCCCTGAAGCTAAACCAGCAGGCAGATCACACCGCCTTCCTCCTCCCTGATTAGAGGTGCAGAACCTTTACATTCGAACACGAATGTCTAACAGCCGGTGAAGTAGGATACGCTGACTCAACCAAATGTTCCATTCATAACTAATTTGTGCGTTGCATAATTGTATTCGATTCGACAGATTGGCTTTCGTCTCCGTGAACTTTCGCAAAATACCGTAACAGCCAAACTTCATCGACTCCATGGTACCTACCTGATAAGTACTTTTCGTTAATAGACTGTTAGATGCCTGTTCTACTGGTAATAATTCAATTTGAATTAAAGGAGAGCAGCAAAAGCTGGAATCACCAACCTATGGCAATCTTCGTTTTTGCATCGCATTTCTTCAATATCTTTAATCCCGACAGTGAGGCACGACGGTGATGAATCACGACAGTCATCAAGCTAGTTAAGTATGGGGAACATGGAGAACAGTTGAACAGTAAAGACACTTCGAAGCATCTGGGACCAAAATTCTGTCCAAGGATGGGGAAGGTTGATAAACCTTTGAACGGTCAGTACAATCTCCATTGTAGAGGTCACACACATATATGATGCCACAAATGGCAGTGACATACATGCCTGCCCCCATCAGACACGCTATACCTCTCTCAGTAATTCGCCGTCATTGCCGACGAACAAGACGGAGGAGAGCAGTCGAGGTTTCAGAAGTGGCCTAGGCGGAACGGAGCTTTCAGGCCACGCGCCCGAGCTTTCCGTGTTATCTCCAGGCCAACTCGCCATTTGCGCTTCCACTCCGTCTTACATTCTGAGTAGGGAACCCTTCGAGAGGCTGACTTTCTTTCCCACACTCAACATTTGACCCCTTTTCTTTGCTTCCGATCTTTCTATTCTTCCCTTTCATTGCCTTTATCGATTTAAGAAACCTTCCATTCTTTACATTCTTTACCCATTTGACCCTGGTTAAGCGGTGTCTGCTCAATCTATCCTGATTTCCCCTCCATACTTTGGCCTTGTGTTCTCAAGGTACCTTCTCATCGGCCCCTCTCTTTTTTCTTCTTTCCTCTCTCCAGACTCTCAACAAAAGCTGGAGTACTGCACGCTAGACCAACCATTGTGATTTTCCTATAAGAAATGTTTGCAACTCACACCTGAAGTCAATCCCAGCGAGCTGCTCTACATTCAACCAGCTTCCTGTGGCAGTCTGATACTCTATACTTGCTTTCACTTTCGCCACTCCCTGTCCCTGCATTTGTTTAGCTGCCCATTATACCGCAACTATGGCGGGAGTAAACCAGGCGTCAAGCTCTGGGGTTGATCTCTCCTCTGAAGTGCGGCGCAGAACTGCCCCTCTTACGCAGGAGCCCAGCCGTGCTCCTGACCATGATGCATATGATGCCAAGAAATTGAAGCAAGAGGTATGATGCTCGCCTGCGACAAAAGCTTCATAAAGCTTTACTGCACCTGATAGCCTATAATATTGACGCGTGTCTTAGCCCGCCTCGTTTTGTTCTGCGGTGGCCAGCTGGGAGCCTATATTCGCGCCTCTCTTTCTGACTGCTCTGGCAATTTTCACTCGAATGTATCAAATTGGTCGTTCAGATATCGTGACATGGGATGAGGCACAGTAAGACCAAAAACTTTTTGTTATAATCTTTCTTCTTGCCAGTATAGAGTGCTAACGTCTTGTCCTGATAATAATATGCAGCTTTGGAAAATTCGGCTCACACTATCTGAAGCGCGAATTTTATTTTGATGTACACCCACCTCTGGGGAAGATGCTAGTTGGCTTGTCGGGATTTCTTGCTGGTTATAATGGCTCGTTCGAATTCAAATCCGGTGAGAAGTATCCCGAAGACGTCAACTATACGTTCATGCGTATTTTCAATGCGGCTTTCGGCGCGGTATGTGTCCCGCTTGCTTACTATACCGCACGGGAGCTGGGTTTTCGCAAGGCTACTGTCTGGCTTATCAGTCTGATGGTGCTATTCGAAAACTCGTATGCCACCATCTCGAGATTCATCCTCCTTGATTCCATGCTACTTTGCTTCACGTTTACAACCACATTATGTTGGGCCAAATTTCATCGACTGCAGAAAGCTAGTTTTTCGGCAGAATGGTTTGCGTGGCTCTTTCTCACCGGCGTGAGCATTGGCTGTGTCTGCAGCGTCAAATGGGTCGGATTCTTCTGCACCGCTATTGTGGGCCTTTATACAGTTGAAGATCTATGGAACAAGTTTGGCGACCTTAAAATGCCTGAGGTAAGCGAACTACTGGAATGTAAACGACTTCAGCTCGGTGGTTAATGCTCGGCAGGTTGTGGTAGCGAAACATTTAGTTGCTCGCATAGTGGGCCTAATTATCGTGCCCTGCATTGTCTACATTCTGTCTTTCTATGTTCATTTCTGGGTTCTCGAGAATAGTGGTCCAGGAGATGCCCAGATGAGCTCACTTTTCCAGGCAAACTTGAAGGGCACCGAGGTCGGGAAGGATAGTCCTCTTGAGATAGCACTGGGATCGAGGGTGACACTGAAAAATATGGGGTATGGTGGTGGACTTCTCCATTCGCATATCCAGACGTATCCTGAAGGGTCAGCACAACAGCAGGTGACGTGCTATCATCACAAGGATTCCAACAACGACTGGTTTATCTACCCCAATAGATATGAGCCGGACTATGACCCCGAGGACTCCTTGAGATTCGTTGGCGACGGAGACATCATCCGTCTAATCCATGGGCAGACGGGTCGGAATCTACATTCTCATGCTATATCTGCACCAGTTACTAAGAGTCAATTTGAAGTCTCCTGTTATGGCAACATTACCATTGGCGATGACAAAGATCATTGGGCGGTTGAAGTCGTTGATGATGTTGCATCCAGGGACAGGAGCAGGATTCGGACTCTTACTACGGCATTTCGCCTGAGACATCCTGTTCTGGGCTGTTACTTGCGTGCAGGAAATGTAAACCTGCCCCAATGGGGCTTCAAACAGATTGAGACCACATGCGTGAAGGAGAATAAGCCCAGTGATGTCTATACTCATTGGAATGTTGAGTCACACTACAACGAAAGGCGTAAGTTTACCCCTATTCCTGGTCTATTCCTTTCAGATTGTGGCGATCGGGTATTGATTTTGTTACCTAGTTCCACCAGGTGATCCCGGATCTTACAAGTCTCCGTTCTGGAAGGATTTTATCCATCTGAATGTCGCTATGATGACGTCCAACAATGCTCTTGTCCCTGATCCGGACAAGCAAGATGACCTCGCCTCTAAGTTCTGGCAATGGCCTATACTCAATGTGGGCCTCCGTATGTGCTCCTGGGATGACAACACCATCAAGTACTACCTTCTCGGAAACCCTTTTGTATATTGGGGGAGTACTTTGAGTCTTGGAATATTTGCCCTTCTGGTTCTTTGGTATCTCGTGCGTTGGCAGCGAGGATATACTGAACTTACCCAAGCGGATATTGACCACATCCACTACTCCGGTCTATACCCAGTCATTGGGTGGGTGTTGCATTATCTACCTTTTGCGGTCATGGCACGAGTGACTTACGTTCATCATTACTATCCGGCACTCTACTATGCCATACTCACATTCGGATTCTGCGTTGACTGGTTCACACAGCAGATGAGCAACAAGCTTCGTTGGGCGATCTATACCTTGCTTTACTGCGCGATCGTTGGCTTGTTCGCATACTTCCGGGCTATTGTGTTTGGTATTGAAGGGCCCAGCCAGCAGTGGTCTCATTTGAACTGGTTCAGTGGCTGGCGGATTGCCAATTGAGCCGTTCCATCTCATCACCGCCGTAATCGTCACCCTTATCGTCAACACCTGTTTACATATACCGCTTCTCGTCATTGCTGTACCTCATATGCAATACCATACTTGTTACTACTATTGTTGGCTCGTGGACTATCTACTCTAGTCAGCTGTAAGATATTTAAATTGGTTGTGTTTCGGGTTTTGGTATATGCGCCCCGCCCCTCTGTTATTTTGTAGCAGTCAATGTATATTGCTTCGCTCTTCTGTACCAATTACCTCGATCCTCATTGGTTCGAGATGTATATAAACTAAGGTCACATAGAGATTACAGGGCAAAATCTGAGCCTATTCCATATTCTTACACAACCATACTTCTCCAAGAGCGACTATAAAGGACCGTTACACGTTTGCACAAGATATAGTCCCGTGACAACTTTGAACAACAAGCTCGATATAAGGTATGATATCCTGTATCCATCAACAACAGCCTCCTGCCAGGCCACTTCCACCTTTGCGCATGGCATCATCCAAACCTAAAGTGACAGTATTTGGGATGCCTGAGTTTGATCCACCAGTAGCACCATAGCCCTTCACACCACTTCGACGGTCGTAGAGGTCATATCTGCCAGCTTCGATGTTGCGATATATCATCTCGGCTACTTCAAGAAACGCACGCTCCACGTTCTCTCCAGATTTCGCGCTTGTCTCAACATACCGTGTGATGTTATTCAAACGGCACCACTCCTCCGCTTCTTGCCGACTGACTGTCTGATGCGATCTTGAATCATCAGCGGCAAGATCGCTCTTGTTGCCGACCAGAACAATTACAATGCCATCTTCCGCAATTTGCCGCAGATCATGGAGCCACTGTGTGCACGATACAAATGTAGAAGGTCTAGTGATATCGAAGACCAGTAAGGCACCCGAAGCACCACGGAAATAAGAGCGGGTAATAGATTTGTACGTTTCTTGGCCAGCGGTATCCCATAGCGACAACTTCATTCTTTTCTGGAGCTCTTGTACCCTACGTGGAGGACTGGGCAGTCCAGAAGCGACTGATTCGCTGGCTGTAGCCGTAGCGGGCAATGAGGGCGAAGATGTGAGTGAAGGGGCACGATTGCGGATAGAATCGTCGAACTCGCCTCCCAAGGCCTTTGAAGCCGGCGGGCCTACCGGAACAATCCGCGAACCGAACTCGACACCGATTGTAACATCATGGGAGGACGAAAAACGCCCTTCGCAGAGTCGGATCGTCAACTAGAAAGTCGCGGCCGTGTGTCAGCGGTATGATGGTCTGTCAAGCGTGAGTGTACCCACACTAGACTTCCCAGTTCCCGAGTCCCCGATGCAAACAAGTTTAGCAATATAGTCCCATGGCTGTGACATGGATACAGCAGAGGAATGTCGCTTTTGCCGGCACTCGAGACTTTTGGTGAATAATTTTTCTTTTGGTCGATCAATGCCCGTGGACTTTAGAGTTCTGTAGGAGTCATGCTCCCAAAAAAATCAACTGATGGAAGATGGCGCCCAAATAAAACGGATACTCGCCTTGGGAAATGGAAAGGTTGTCCTAACCTGCGGTCAGTCGGCCTATGGGGAGATAATCGTATGATATTTAATGATGCTGGGAACTCTGTAAACTTCTTCGTGCTCAGCACGGGAAGGAATGCTCTTTTTACGTTCAGCCTTACTAAACTAAGTCGGGTATAACGCTGGATCCCAACCTACTAGAAAGTGCGGGATAAGATAAGTAGTAGGACGGAATCGATAACCAGTCTGGAGTAGCCAGTAGATGACTAACCAAGCTATAGTGGAGCTACCGAGGAATGCTGGGTACAGAGCAAGTAGCTGTTATGTAATGATGGTCTTTCTGACTATCCACTAGTAGTTAAGTACGGGAGGAGCTGTGATACTTTAGTCCCCTCTAGTAGTATCTACTAGTTATCTACCTTGTTCCAAGCCACACATACATTGACTGCAAGGAAGATTCCACCGCAACCCCCTTGTTCTGTTTTTTTTATTGGCATGGTCTGAAGTGCTCCAGTTTCCTGCTCTGCACACCGAGAACATTTGTACTTACTGGGTGCATTCTGCAGCCCAAGCAAGTCAAACCGGTCAGACGAATGGTATGGATGCTGAGTCATCTATCACCATGACCTTGCCTGATGACGCTTGCAACCTCACCTACTGATCGCAAGGGAAATCTACTACTACCTTCGTACGCTTTCTGCCTGTCTGAACTCTTTCCGCGATTTATACCTCAATCCGTCATCTGCTTTCTTTTCGATGGATAGCCCTGTCTCATTTGGCTTCTTTGCTATGTAGTCCTTCGATTCCCACTGAATTTCAACTGCATCGGGCTTATACCGCTCACACCGCTTCGTCTGCTTTAATCTAGGCAATCAGTGATTTGAATATAAGAAGGTTTAGCGGCTCATTGGTTAAGGGTCAAGGTGTCAAGAAGACGAAAGGAAAGATAGAGA